TTACTACTCATTAACCATGAAATAAATTCTTCATCTTTCTGCTACATCTCTAAGTTCACAGCATTGCCCAATGCTGTTTACAGGGCTCCAAGAGAGCCTTCAATTTGCTTTGGTTTTAACAACATTTTTAAAGCTTACCACCCTGCTTTAGTATTTTGGCATCCCTTGTCCTTTTGTCCTTTTCCACTGTGGACAGCGATGTGTCAGGCAGCTTCAGTGGTCAGAACAACTCCCACTCCATCTCAAAATCCAGATCCCACCACACTGCCTTCCCAATCCAGCATGGATGACTGCCTGATCCATCCACTGTTCAGGTAGACAGGTTTGGATCACAGTCAAGATCCAGTGCTTAGTAATACTAAATATCCAGGGCCAGTTACACTGCAGACACTCCTGCCAGGAAGGGAGTAACACTGTTGTGCCCCGGGCGCAGAATCCAGCCTTGCCCTCTGTGCAAAGCCACTGCTCTGCTCAACAGAATCCCAGGCATGTTCCTCCCTGCCTGTTCGAGCTTTCCCTTCCACATTCAGCTGCCCCGATGGTGCCTTTACACTCAGTTTCTCTACTCACACTCTTTTTGGGCTGCCTTTCCACCTAATTCTTCTTTTCAAGGTCTCCAATCTCACAGGGCTCCTCTCCATCTCAAGTCACTTGTTGTTGTATTAATGTACTCAGTTGTATTAATGCATTAATGTATCTTTTGTTGTATTAATGTACTCAGTTGCATTCAACGACTTTAATGTAGACACTTCTCTTGTAATCAGAGTGGATAATGTAAGCCCTGTTTAAAACTCCCCGTCTCTGATTTCACGTGTGCCTTCAGTTTGCCATATCCAAAATATTCCCTATTCCCTTCCCTGGGGTTGACCAATTCTTAAAGCCAGTGTGACATGACTCACTAAGGAATTCAGCTTTCTCTGATCCCAAGAGCGTGGTCCTGGACCTCTGAGGTCTCATTCACTGCTACACGACCCCTCATCGTGTCTCACTCCCCGATGTGTTCATAGAGCTCTTCCTCCACCCGACAGGCAGCTGCAGTGCTGCACTTACACCGCCTCAGAGCCCTGAACATCCTTTCCGTATCCTTTCTCCCTCCCCATCTCACATTTTCAGCCAATCCGCCCCTTTTTTCCTGCAATAAGACATCACTAGTCCAGCCCTGCATGTTGTGCTCGGATCAACAGTGGCTGCCACAAAGAACTGCTAAGCCAGCAAAGGCAAAAATCTAAAGGCGAATAGTAAAACCGGGTCACGTCGGGGCTGTGGAGCACACGGCCGCCCCACACGAAGGGACACTCGTGTTTGAACGTCATCCTTACGTCGGAGATGATTTTAAGGCGCAGTTTCCGCGGGGAATCCGTCAGAGGCGGTGCCTTCGAGGGAGGTTTGCAGGACACGTCCCGCTCGGTACCGGGGCCTGGGAAAATCCCAAGGACGCCCGTTGATACTGAATTAGGACACTGCGCTTCTGCTGAAGACGGCAGAAGAGGCTGAATCCGTTCGGGGGAGCAGACGGAGCGACAGCCCTGTGGTTTTTCCTCCGAGGGGAACCGATGGCCGCAGCAGCTGTCCCCGGACCCACCGGCAGCCCCTGCTCTCATCTCCGCCTGGAAGATGAGAGCTCGCACAGCGATGGGAGCCCGACAGTAAATAGGGTCTGCCCGCGGACTGAGGACGGCCGGAGTTATTCCTCGGACCGAGTCGAAATCGCCAGCGCGGAGCCACCGACGCAAGTGCAGGGACCCCGCTACCGCCTCTCACATGGGGACAGACACGAGAGGAAAGACGGGGGTACCGCGGCGACCCGAAACACCGGGCTCCTCCTGATCGGGACGTGTGGCAGGCAGTCCACGCTATCGCCCGTAGGAGTCCCCCTCTGCCCCTCGGGGCTCCCTTTCAGCCCCGCGCTTCTCCCGGTAGACGGGACGGACGGAACTGCGGGCAGCAACGCCAGGCTGACCCGCTCTTTCCCCGGCAGCTCCGAGCCCCTCTCCGCCAAGGCAGGCTGTGCCTGCCGGCAAAGTGGGCGGAGATGTCAGGATGCCCTTCAAAAAGCCACGGGAGCTCGCAGCTGCTCCGCGGGGACAACGGGAGCGGAGATGACTTTTAGCCATCCGGAGCCTGGGAGAACAATCTCGTAGGCAGAGGATTTCTGGAATTCAGCGAACCCTACGAAAATCCTCATTACACATATCAAGCTACAGAAATACGGACTCACAACGTGCTATTCAGCGTATCGCAGGCAAGAACTTGTCTCTCTAACGCGAGGGTACAGATCGATCTAGTGACTCCCAGTCAGAGACCACTGGACTTGGCGGCAGACACCGGGGAGGAATGGTCTAGTCCTGCTCGTGCGGCGGAGCAGCTCCGAGCCGAGCACGCGGCGTCTACAGCAACTCCTCCGGCAGCCGTGCCGGGCATTTCCCTGCCTGTAAAACCATCAGTTCTGAGGCTGCAAAACAACCTCCGGCCACCACGGCGGGCGAGCGCTGCAGCCGCTGCTCCTCCGCCTCTCCCGCTTCCCGGAGCCGCCCGGGGAAGCGCTCGGCAGCGCTCCCGAGCCGTGCCTCCGCTGCCAGGATTGCAGCGTGCCTGGTAACGTCGCTGTTAATCAGCATCACTCTCCAAAACAATGTGCGGCGGGAAGAAGAGCCTGGGCTCGCAGCGACTGCCAACCCTGCGCGAAATTGGTATCGTTTATTCAAGGCACTGCTGGATATTCTAGAGCTTTCTGTTAACGACTCCTGCCCAGACTATGCCACGAAGCAAAAGCATCCACGAGCTGTTTCTAAAGTTGAGCTTGCCTTCTGTTTCTAAAAGAAATACTGAAATATTTCCTGACAGTGTGCGTCTATAATAAACCCCGATAAGATCTTCAATTCAATATTGCAGTCGGAGAAACCAAGAGGAACCGAAGGGAAACCAAATCCTTCCCTGCCCAAACAATCGGCATTAATCACCCTTAGTCATAACCCGAGGAAACCAGTCGCCTCCCACTCCCGTGGGCAAATGCTGATTTTCCATCTTCTTCTACAGAATGAGTTAAATCTGCTTATAAACTTAACCAGAAGTTTTTCCTTTAGAAGATCGCGGTTTGCTGCGAACCATCACATGGTCCTGCCTTCCATCACATTCAAGTGAATAAACGAAAGAAATTGGTAGTTCTGTAGCACTGGGATAAACCTCGCTACTCACAAGTGAAGGCAGTTCACCGCATACTTAAGAGGTGATGACTCAGTCCCCTTAAGCACGTCAGCAACCGGACATGATCAAAGGAGACTAAATAAACAATCCCCAGCAAATACACAAAGAACTCAAAGGCGGTACCAAGTGATCTAAAACAGATGCGAGAAGGAAAGAGGAAATCGTGGGGCACATTTAAACACTTTTCTATGATCAACGGGAGAGAACCCACTCCTACGATACTTCTCAAAAAGGATATGAAGTTTTCAACTTCCGCTGCTGTTTTTGGTGCATCTATAAACACCATCCTTGTAACAGAAACAATGGCAGAAACAACGATCTGCCGTTTTATTTCTCTAGTCCATGTCCTTCGTCTGAAGAGCTTCTATGAGTTCAAAACTCAATAAAGTATACGTTGTCAAAACATACATACTGTGTTAAAGATACTACTGTGTCTTAAAAATACGGTGGTTATACAAAAGGGAATCTTTGGCGAATTAAACTCGTAACACGAAAAGAAATTATATAAAAGTCCTGCTTGTTATTACCCTGACAGCTTTGCAGACTTGGTTTTATAAGCTATAGAGAAAATTAAATCGAAGACATCTTCATTTTTCCCCGTAAAAATTGTGTTCATTTTCTAACACCGAACAAGAAACACTAAATGTGACCCTAACGTCTCATCTCAAAGAGTGCTTTGAAGCCGGTCTAGATGAGAACAGGGTCGATTCAGCGCCAGCAGCGCATGGACAAGATCAGCTGCCTCGATAACGGCGTTCTAACCACCCGCTAATTCAGCAAGTGCTCTCCACGCAGGGTTACTGAGAAAACCAGTATCGAATGCGTGTTCTCTTGCTTTTTCTGCTCTGCTGCTGGGAGAACCAAAAGTTTTCAATCTACCATCCCTGGACCGTTCAACACCACACATAGAAACTCTCCCTTATAATTTTCCCTTAAACACTCTTCCTGCCTCTCTCCGCTCACACCAAATGCAGACTGTACTTTCCACAGCACGTTTTTGGGAGGGACAGGGTAGAAGAAACGCCATATCACTACAAAAACGTTAGGATCAGGTCGTGTGGAAAGGTCGGGGAGCACCCTCTCCCTCAAACAGTTTTCCATTTTTTCATAAAGCAGTCTGGTTTTCACTCCACTCCCCCACCGCACATTTTCACCGGATTTCCAGACGCAGACCAGTACTCACGACCTCGACCAACATTTCTTGCCCTCGCTCCAGCCCAAATTTATCCCCTCATGTATTTCAGCTTCTTAGGAGCGGCTTCTGAACAAATAAGCCCACGAGTGAGTCGACGCGCATACAAACACAATATTCATCAAACCAAGAGTAACCACACCTCCTTCAAGAATAGCTGCATTCAGCCTGAGGGAACATCCAAACGCCTCGGCAATTCCGGGAGGGTTCACAGGTTGAAACACAATTAAAACAGGGAAACAAAATATCCGCTAACTACCACCACTGCTATTTGACACCAAGTCGACGGTAAAAAAAAAATTACAACAAATATGATTAAAAATAACGTCCTACGAAAGATTAAAAAAAAAAAAGAGAGACGGCATGAAAATTTTGAAATTTTGAGAGGCCTTCAGGTAATCAAACAATGACATTTCAAAAGGCGAACACGCATGTCTAACGTGAATTATCAAGCCTACATTCAACAGCATCACAAAGCTAAGACTTCGTCTTAAATATTCAACCGCAGAAAAAGTGTTTTAATGCATCGAAGATCCATGAAAATTGTCACGTAAACAGAACAACCCAAGAGAGAACTAAAACACAAGATGGAGAAGACGCTTACCACGATTGAAGTAAGAGGAGAAAGAGATGGTCCCGTCCCAGCAGAACCGCTTTCTGAAGCGGGAGCGGGCGGCGGCGGGAAGTTGGGGCTGAAAACCATCAGGTCGCTCTTGGCCGCGCCGTCCGCCACGCACAGGCTCCGGCTGTGGCGCTGCGAGTACGACCAGCTGCCCACTTCGCTGGCGCACACCAGCGTCGTGGGCCCGGGCCCCGACAGCACGGCCGCCCGCGGCGCCCAGCGCGACGCCCCGTACAGCACCACGGCCAGCAGGAACAGGCTCGACACGCCGCAGATCGCCACCACCAGCCACACGTTCGTCGCCGCCGCCGCCGCCGCCGCCGGCCCAGAGCCGCTCTCGCCGCCCGCCAACGAGCGCGGCAGCAGCGACGACGAGCCCGCCGCCGCCGCCAGCGCCGCCTCGCCGCCCTCCACCAGCGACACGCTCAGCGTCGCCGTGGCCGAGCGCGCCGGCTCGCCGTGGTCCCGCACCACGATCACCAGCCTCTGCCGCGGCCCGTCCGCCTCCTCCAGCGCCCGCGCCGTGCTCACCTCGCCGCTGTACAGCCCCACGCGGAACAAGGCGCTCTTGCCCCGCGGCTCCCACAGCTCGTAGCGCAGCCACGCGTTGTAGCCCGAGTCCGCGTCCACCGCCCGGATCTTCGCCACCACCTGACCCGACGGAGAACCCCACGACGCCCACGCCCACAGCGTCCCCGCCTCCCCCGACACGGACCCGGCCTCCGACCCGCCGCCCGCCGCCGGCAGCAGCGCCGGCGCGTTGTCGTTCTCGTCCACCCCGAACAGCTGCACCGTCGCGTTGCCGCACAGCGACGGCTCCCCCGCGTCCACCGCACGCACCTCGAACTGCAGCACCTGCACCTCCTCGTAGTCCAGCGGCCGCAGCGCCCGCAACACGCCGCTCTCCGCCTCCACCGACACGTAGCTCGACGCCGCAACACCCCCCACCGAGCCCGACGTCCCCGACCCCCACGACCCCGACCCCCCGCCCAACGCGCCCTCCCACAACGAGTAGCTCACGCGCCCGTTGCCCGCCCCGTCCGGGTCCCGCGCCCACAGCCGCGCCAGCTCCGCGCCCGCCAAGTTGTTCTCCCGCGCCAGCACCGTGTACACCGCCTGCGCGAACGACGGCGCGTTGTCGTTCACGTCCGACACCGGCACGCGCAGCCCAACGCGGGCGCCCAGCGACGGAGAACCGCCGTCCTCCGCACGCACCTCCACCTCGTACTCCGACACCCGCTCCCGGTCCAGCAACTCCCGCAGCACCAGCGAGTACGACCCCGACAACGTCGCCTCCAGAACGAACGGACCCGACGGCCACACCCAGCACCGCACACGACCGTTCGACCCCGAGTCCCGGTCCCACACGCTCAGCAGGGCCACCACCGTCCCCAGCGACGCGTCCTCGGGCACCGGCACCGACAGCGACGTCACCCGCACCTCCGGCGCGTTGTCGTTCACGTCCAGCACCTCCAGCTCCACGCTGCAGTGACCCGACAGCGGGGGCGTCCCTTGGTCTCTCGCTTCTATACGGAAATCAAATATACTGACTTCTTCAAAGTCCAGAGCACCCGTCAGGTGAATCTCACCTGTCTTCGGATTCATGGAAATCACATCTCTTCCACTCGGCGGAATGAAGCTGGTTGCAGTGTAGGTCACTTCACTATTACTTCCTTCATCTGCATCTGTGGCGTTCACCCGTGCCACCAGCGTCCCCACTGAAGCGTTCTCTGGTAGTTGCACTTTATACACCGATTGGTTGAACTGGGGCGCGTTGTCGTTCGCATCCAGCACCGAGATCACCAGCTCCATCGTCCCTGTCAGAGATGGCCGGCCCCCGTCACTCGCCGTCAGCAACAACCGGTGCACCGGCATCGTCTCCCGGTCCAGAGGTTTCCTTAAAACAAGTTCGGGAACAATATTTCGCTCATTTGATTTTTGTAAATCCAAAGAGAAATGTTCGTTGGGACTCAGTGTGTAGGAGAGCTGCGCGTTCGCTCCAATATCTGCATCTGACGCGCCCTCCAGTGGGAAACGAGACCCCACCACAGACAATTCCGCGATGCTGATGTTTTTTCGGGCGGCGGGGAAGATGGGGGCATTGTCATTAATGTCGGTGACCTCCAGCTCCACGTGGAAGACGCGCAGCGGCCGCTCCAGCAGCACCTCCAGCCGCAGCGCGCACGGCGCGCTCTTGCCGCACAGCTCCTCCCGGTCCAGCCGCGAGCTCACCACCAGCGCCCCGCTCGCCCCGCTCACCTCCACGCTCGCCCGCCGGCCCCCAGGCACCAGCCGCAGCCGCCGCGCCTCCGCCTCGCCCGCCTCCAGACCCAGGTCCTGCGCCACACGGCCCACCACCGTCCCGGCCTTCGCTTCCTCCGGCACCGAGTACCGCCCCTGCCCCCAGCACAGCGCCCACGCCGCCTGCACCGCCACCAACACCGCACCCCACAAACACTCGCCCATCGCCGCCGCACACGACCAGTCCTTCCGACCCCGCACGGGCCCCGCACGGCTCCCGCCGCCGCCCGCACGCACCGGCTCCGCTGCCCGGCCCCAGCCGCCCCCCCGCGCTCACAGCCGGGCTCTCCGCCGCACCGCCAAGGAGCCGCCCACACGCCCTTCCTCAGCCTGCAGCGACACCGTGCGCTGCTCCGCCGCCTCACACGCTCCAAACAGCGCCCAAGCCTCTGCCCTGACACACGCATCTCCTCTGCCGGCTCCTCTCACCGTGCTGGTTTTTCTTTTACTTATTTTTCTTTATCGCCTGCTGTTTCCTTGCAAATATTTCTTTCTTTCCTTCTTCCCCTTTTCTCGTCTGACTTTCTTCTATTTTTTTCCTTCAGTTCCCTATACTGAATGGAGGCGGGAGGCGTTCTTTTCATGCTTTTTACCTCTTTGTATTCTGCTCTTCCCTCCTTCTCAAGTCTTCTTTCTTCATTTCCGTCTTTCTCGTTTTCCTCCTTTCCGTGTCGTGCCTTGTTCTTAATTTGTCTTCTCTCTCCATCCTTTTCTCTTCTTCAATCCCCCGGCAGTTCGCCCTTTGCCTGCGCTTCTGAGACCATCAAAGTCGGAGCCATCATCCCTAATTACGGGACGTCCGCTCCAGAGCGAGGTACTTTAACCGGGGCGGGGAGGCTGTAAGGGACCGACTCCGCTCGGTGCGTGCTGCTCAGGTCCTTTATAGTCTCTTCTGTTCTTCCATTCTTCCGTTCTTTCTTTCTTTCTGGATGGCTTTGGACTTGCATGGATTTCTTCCTTCCATTTAAATTTCTTTCATTTCCTTATGCTTTTTTCTTTTTCTCTTGCCTTTTCTTTCTTTCCTTGTTCACCTTCCCCGCGTCTTCTCTTCCCTGCTCTTAGATTCGCTGCTGGTTTTTTCTTCACCTCTTCTTCCATTTCCATCTTAGTCTCTATATTGTTATTTTCTTCCTCTACCAAAATACTTCCAAATGTGTACATCATGCTCACAACGAAGGACGTGCCTTTCTGAAAGGGCTCTCATTCTTCTCTTTGCCACAATTCCTCATATTCATTTTTTTTTTTTAATTTCTTTTTTTTCCCCCCGACATTCTCCCCACTGGAACAGAAGCCCAAACCCCAGCTAAGGGGACATATAATTGAAAAAAATGCATCAAAGTTTACAAATAACCCCAGGGAATTTCTCAGTTGAGAAATCGAACCTATTACAGCCCAGCACACCAATCCTTCAGGAATGCTGCAAAAAGCACTGGGCAACCACAGCTGCTCAGAACTCCTTGATGAAGAGCTAGAGCTGTTCTTCATGACTCATGTTCTACCTGCACAGCCAACAAAATGCCACCAAGATAACACCACGGCATTGCCACTGAGAACATCTGCTGCATGCACGACACAGCTACTCCAACAAATCCATTAAGGTCACTTCTCCATGTGTCCTTGCTTCCACCTGCTCACCCTGTGCCAGGCAGCAGCAGAAAGGGAATGAGAGCTGGTAGTGGTGCTCCAAACCTACAGGCATTTCAATCCAGGCAACATTCAGCCAATCCAACAGGAAGACACCACAGCTGAACAGGAACCAAAGTTCACCTGTCTCTCACACACAGCCTCTACAGGTACCTGTTGCCTCAATGGTGTCATTTTCAGAAAAAGAAGCATTTTCAGAACAGGAAAACTGGGTTTAAGGGACATTTTCCCTTAATAATATGAGTAACTTTGGGGGATGCTGTACAGAAAAAACATACATTCACTAAGAGCTTGGAAATTACAGAAGAGCGTGTAGTGCTCCCTTTTGCACTTTTATCACAGGGGAAGCAGGAGGGACACCTGAACATCAGTGACATTCTCTCAACAGCAAACTCAGCTCAGGAGAGTAGAAAAACCTTCCCTGAGGCTGATGGATTACTGTTCAAGCACCTGCCACCTGATAGCTGCCAATATTCTGCTGTCTGCATGTCATCCACAGTTATCAACACATTGCCAATGTGAGAGAAGAAAAAAGGGTCAACGTTCTCACTCAGAGAAGAGGGAGGAGGAGGAGGAGGAGAAAACAAAGGGACCCATCCCACTGTACTGAAATGCCAGGCTTGACAATATCTTGAATACAGAGACAACTTCTTCCCTTCCCTAGCAACACCAAGACTACAGAAATGACTCAGGCAACATTCTGAGAAAGCTGGTACAATGATACAAGTTTCAAAAAGTTTTTGTTTGACCAACAACATTCCACAACAAAGAAAAGCAATTAAAGGCATATGCCTGCCATATGGCAGGTAACTTTAGAAGCAGTAACACCACAGAAAACAACAGAGCACAAGGAGATGCAGAGGTACTGGAGCTCCTGAGAGGATCCCAGGACAGCAGCCTTGTGTGCCAGGCCTTTCCTCAGGGTTTTCTATGGGCATCTCCTATCCTGTGCCATGGGAAATGAGATCTCCACATCTAAGCAGGCATTCTCCAATTCCTCCCCAATAACACAGACCGTGTCCTACCCAGCATCTCCATTTCCCTCAGACAACACTCCTCCCCACTCAAACTCACCCTCTCCATGACACAGGCCCAGGCCCTACTTGGAGCCATTCATAGGATCACTGCCAAGATAGCAAACATTGCTCAACTCCAGCAACAGGTCCCATCTGTAAAGCCCACTTTGCATATGATTCAGGCCTTAGCACCTCTTCATCTTCCCTCATGATCACCACAAAGGAAATATGAAGTATGTAAATACCACACAGCATCGGGCTGTGTCTTCCCAGCACCTGATCTTCACCAGGAATGCTTTGCTCCTTTTCAGCAATCTCACATGGACATAGCTCAGAGCTGCACATGACAGTTCTTACAGATTCTGTGATTAGAACTCTGATAGGGATCAGAACAGGACTGGGAGCAGTCCCCATGGATTTTGTTCTTCAAGAGAACCATATCAAATGCCAAAGCGCAAGTGGTCTCACAAGACCAACTGAGGCAAATTATATCACAAAAAAACAGAGCTGGGATGCTCTGCACGGTTTGATGTTTACCTGCACATATCAGAATGAGCCATGTCTGACAACAGGACACACCACCTCTACCACGTTCAACTGCACAAGGAGGGGAAGTCCAGTGCACAAAGATTTCACCCACCACCTCATTACACGCTCTGGGATAAGAACCAAAAAGCACAACAGCATAACAGATTGTATCAACTGTGTAGGAAAAATTGGCTTGGGTTTTGTTGGGAGAGGTGATTCTCTGGATTGTTTGTTTTCTTTTTTAAAAAATTATTTCCACGGCTTTTGAAATTATGCTGTTGTTGATATAAGTTTTGCTACAACATCAAAAGACTCAAGCATGTTTCATGCTACTTTTCTGGCTAGTAAAGTACATCCACAACCCAGGGAACAAAGAAAGCAGGAGAAGAAAATTTCACTTCCTAGCACTTCATCTTGGAGAACACGCCTCTCTCTGAACACATTACAATGCTAAGGAGAGCAACAAGATACTCAGGAAGAGACCATAAGAAAGGTTCACCACATCTTCCCAAGTTTCATAATGACTCTAGTGGTAGAACCAAATCGGACAGCTTATATTTCCACAGGCAGACAAAACCCTGAAGTCACAATTTTCACCTTGCATAACAGCAGAATCAAAGAGGAGGTAGTCAATTTTCAATAACAAACAACACCCAAACTGTTCAAGACTGTCGAGCAGTGCCTGGAGAAATGTTGAAGCATTCCCTTCCCACAACACCTTTTTGGAAACAAGCAGTCCATCAGACAACATTCAACACTGCATCTCACCAGCTCTTACATACACACGGCCTACATAAGGAAGGCAGCAGCAGCAGCAAAAGGAACTGTCTCTGGTGGAAGGTGTTCATAACTCCAAAGGACATTGTGGACATTTCCATTTTCACACACTCTCTCATGACCAGGGAGGTCTCCCACTCCAGACCCTTAGAGTCTGGAAAAGATCCTCAGCAAGAATGCTCTGTTCCACTCCTGCCTCACCATAACCCTTTCCTCTAGGAATCCTCTGCTCCCCACTGAGACAGAAGATGAGGACAGAAAAAAACCCACATGTGATACCACCACGGTCAGCAGTCAGCAAAGGCAATAAGGAAGAAGGCAGTACATAGGGCCTGGGGACTGACACCACCACAGCCTGTCCTGCACACCAAGCTCGGGTGCAAATGCTACACATCAGCAAGTTCTGTCTCCAAAACTCAAACGTCGAGGCAACACAGGTCAACTCTCATCACAATCAGCAGTGATTTCATTCTATGGAAGAATAATTCATATCCACAGCAGCAAATCTCTGCTGCGAACCCCAAGGAGTTACCGCGATACCTCTATCGGATACAGATGAAAATGTACAATTAACATATTTAAGCACCTGTAAAGCAACCACTCCCACAATCCAGGGGCGCGGAGCCCGGAGCCCAACAAGGCTGGCCCAGGGGGCGGGAGAGAAGGGGCAGAGGGAGGAGGGAATAAGTAGACAAGAGCAAGGGATTGTCACTGACCGTATCGAGGAGAGAGGGAGGCTCCGGCTGCGTGTCCTTGGCCGCGGCGCCGGGCGGCGGCGGGAAGTTGGGGCTGAAAACCATCAGGTCGCTCTTGGCCGCGCCGTCCGCCACGCACAGGCTCCGGCTGTGGCGCTGCGAGTACGACCAGCTGCCCACTTCGCTGGCGCACACCAGCGTCGTGGGCCCGGGCCCCGACAGCACGGCCGCCCGCGGCGCCCAGCGCGACGCCCCGTACAGCACCACGGCCAGCAGGAACAGGCTCGACACGCCGCAGATCGCCACCACCAGCCACACGTTCGTCGCCGCCGCCGCCGCCGCCGCCGGCCCAGAGCCGCTCTCGCCGCCCGCCAACGAGCGCGGCAGCAGCGACGACGAGCCCGCCGCCGCCGCCAGCGCCGCCTCGCCGCCCTCCACCAGCGACACGCTCAGCGTCGCCGTGGCCGAGCGCGCCGGCTCGCCGTGGTCCCGCACCACGATCACCAGCCTCTGCCGCGGCCCGTCCGCCTCCTCCAGCGCCCGCGCCGTGCTCACCTCGCCGCTGTACAGCCCCACGCGGAACAAGGCGCTCTTGCCCCGCGGCTCCCACAGCTCGTAGCGCAGCCACGCGTTGTAGCCCGAGTCCGCGTCCACCGCCCGGATCTTCGCCACCACCTGACCCGACGGCGAACCCCACGACGCCCACGCCCACAGCGTCCCCGCCTCCCCCGACACGGACCCGGCCTCCGACCCGCCGCCCGCCGCCGGCAGCAGCGCCGGCGCGTTGTCGTTCTCGTCCACCACGAACAGCTGCACCGTCGCGTTGCCGCACAGCGACGGCTCCCCCGCGTCCACCGCACGCACCTCGAACTGCAGCACCTGCACCTCCTCGTAGTCCAGCGGCTGCAGCGCCCGCAACACGCCGCTCTCCGCCTCCACCGACACGTAGCTCGACGCCGCAACACCCCCCACCGAGCCCGACGTCCCCGACCCCCACGACCCCGACCCCCCGCCCAACGCGCCCTCCCACAACGAGTAGCTCACGCGCCCGTTGCCCGCCTCGTCCGGGTCCCGCGCCCACAGCCGCGCCAGCTCCGCGCCCGCCAAGTTGTTCTCCCGCGCCAGCACCGTGTACACCGCCTGCGCGAACGACGGCGCGTTGTCGTTCACGTCCGACACCGGCACACGCAGCCCAACGCGGCCGCCCAGCGACGGAGAACCGCCGTCCTCCGCACGCACCTCCACCTCGTACTCCGACACCCGCTCCCGGTCCAGCAACTCCCGCAGC